GGCGGGGCTCGGAGCTGGCTCTGGGGCTCAGGGAGCTGTGGGGAAAGGCAAGCTGCCAGCGGGGGAGCGAAGCCCGCGGAGCGCTGCGGGCAGGGACGCAGCCCTTGGTGCCTTGCCGGTGGGAGATGTGTTCTGGTCAGGTCACTCAGTTGCAGCGCAGGTTGCTGGCGAAGAGGTGAGCAGGCTTTGCTCCATCGTGGGAGGTGGAGAAGAGGTTGACAGCACCTTCATGAAAAGCAAGAGGCAGAGCCGCGTGTGGCAAGGAAGGAGGGCCAGTTGGAGCCCCTGGTTAAATGGGTGATGGAGGGAGGGTGGCCGTTGGGATGGACAAGGCATGAAACTCATGGTTTCTGGCAACAGGAGGAAGGTTCGTGCTCCATCTGCAGATCTGCCACTTCAGAGTAGATGTAGCACCCTGGGAACTTCTTTAGGCAGCTGGAAGAAGCCTGACTGGCACAGCCCTTGTGCTTATGGATGGCTCTGACCACCCCAGTATCTGCTGGAAGGGCCTATGGCTGAGCACAAGCAGCCTAGGACATTTCTGGAAAGTATTGAAGATAAATTTCTTGATGCAGTTGATTGATGAACTAACTAGGAGAGATGTTCTGCTGGAAATGCGACTCACAAACAAGAAGGAACTGGTGGAAGATGCAAAGGTCAAGGGCAGCCAATGGCTGCAGTGACCACAAGACTGTGGAGCTGAAGGATCAGAGAGGAGTGAGCAGGATAAACAGAATTAGAATCCCAGACTTCAGAAGAGCAGATTTGGGCCTGTTCAAGGACCAGCTTGGGAAGATCCCACAGGAAACAAAGAGGTCAAAGGGGCCCAGGGAAGCTAGGTCATCCTCAAGAACAACTTTTCTCAGAGCACAAGAATGGTTCAGTCCAATGTGCAGAAGTCAAACACCACAGAACGCTGGTATGGATGAACAAGGAGCTCCTGACTGAACTCAAACACAAAAAAAAGTTTACTGAAGGTGGAAGCAGGAGCAGGCCACTTGGGAGGAACATAAAGAAATAAGACATTATAAACTCCATTCCTACATGTGCCACACATAGGCAAAGTTCAGCTGGAGATGAAGCCAGCAAGGGAAGCGAAGAACAGCAAGAAAGGTTTCTGCAAGTGCCATCAGCAGCAAAAGGAAAGCTAAGAGAGTGTGAGAGGGACCATAGTTCAGTGGGCAGGGAAGCTAATGACAAGGAACAGGCAAAATGCTGAGGTACTTGAAGCCTTTTTTGCCTGAGGTTTGATAAGACTGGTCGTATAGTCTTCCACATCTCTGAGCTTCCTAGCAGAGATGTGAGAGTGAAGTAGTAGTCACAGCAGAGGAAGACAGAGTTAGGGCTTAATCCACTGGGATGTACACAGTTCCATGGGACCAGAGGGTATGGATGATGAGGGTGGCTGATGAGGGAACAGGCTGATGACATAGCAAGGCTGCTATCATCTTTGAAAGCTCATAGTGATGCAAGGATGTTCCTGGTGACTGAAAAAAGACAGATATACCCCTCTTCAAGAAAGAAGATCCAGGGAACTATGGGCTGGTCAACCTCACTTCACTCCTTGGGAAGGCTATGGAGCAAATAATTTTAGAAGCTATTTCTAGACACATGGAAGACATGAGGTCCTGGGGAGCAGTGAGCATTGATTTGTCAAGGGCAAATCATGGCTGACCAAACTCCTTGCTTTTTATAATGAGTTCACTGCTGCTGTGGACAAGGGGAGACCAGTGAATGTTGCATACCTTGACTACATTAGGAAGACCTCCCAAGAAGTCTCCCATAGTCTTCTTGTCACCAAATTTATGAGAAGTGGGATGGATAAGTGGACAATAAAGTGGATGGAAAATTGCCTGGGTTGCTGAGCTCAGAACTGCAATCAGTAGTACAAAGTCTAGCTAGCAGCCAGTAACTTGGTGTCCTTCAAGGATCTGTAGGTAGGAACAACTCTGGGGGCAGCCTTAGAGAGAGAAACCTAGTACAGTCCTGTCAGCATATTACCAAACACTTGGAAAATCCTGGTTTTTTGAATGCTGATTCTTTCTTTTAGTGTGGTCATCATTGTCTTCCCTCTTGGGGGTAAAATTAGATAATGATACTTTGTTAATTACTTGGGAGGATGGTTCACTGAGGAATGTATGGAAAAAATCCAATCATTAATGCAAAAAAATGAACAGTTGTTCAGAATTACCAAGGGTGCAAATGTGACTACATAGGTACCTGTGAACTGCAGTCCTATTTCTCCAGAAGTGTGTTTTTAAAACAGCTTAACAGAAGCAACAATTTGCTATTCTGTATGATCTGGCCTAACAATGATTTTTGTTTTCCTCTCTTCTTTTAATAGTACTACATTGAAGAGACAATTATTGAGGAGGGTGAGCCACATGAGGTAAAGGTCCCTGTGATGTTGCATGTAATGTATATATGCATGTAATTAATGCATAATGCTACATTAGTGGCCTTTTGTATTCTGAGGACTAATTTTTCATATTGAACAAAGATATCAATGAAGAGTTGCGTCTTAATTCCTTTTCCTTTGCAAGGCCCTGTTGTGGGATGATCTAGGGGACTCCTAGGTCGTTCTGAGTATCTCTTCTGCCCCTCTTTGGTTTACATTCGATGGACTTATGGATGTGTCCATCAGAAAAGGACTGTACTAATTTCTGTCCTGTCCTTTGTCTTGCCAATAGTCTTCCATTTGCTCCTGCCCATCAGCTGTTTGCACAGGAGCTGACAAAATGAAGCAACAGGTTACATTATTAACAAGAAACACAGGCAGGAAGATTACTTGGGTAACATAATGAATAAATCCAATCATTAGTGTTAAAGGTGGACTGAATTACTGAGGATGTGATTGTGACTAGATATAGAATCATAGAATCATTTGCTTGGAAAAGACTTTTAAGATCATCGAGCCTAACTGTACCTGTCCACCACTAAACCCTGTCCCTAAGCACCGCGTCTGCCCGGCTGTTAAATCCCCCCGGGGGTGGGGACTCAACCCCTTCCCTGGGCAGCCCCTTCCAGGGCTTGACAGCCCTTTTGGGGAAGGAATTTTTACTGATGTCCAGGTTTAGACCTGCCTGGCGCAACTTGAGGACGTTTCCCCTTGTCCTAATTTTTGTTACAGGTAACAGTGCTCTTCCAGTCTGATGCAATGGTTTACTACTTGCACCCCAGGTAAGACATTGCTTCACCCCAGTGCCCAGCACAGGGGCACGGTCCCTGCCCTGCTCCTGCTGGCCACACCACTCCTGATACAAACCAGGATGCCGCTGGCCCTCTTGGCCACCTGGGCACCCTGCTGGCTCATATTCAGCCACCTGTTGACCAACACCCCCAGCTCCTTTTCCGCCAGGCAGCTTTCCAGCCCCTCTTCCCCATACCTGTAGCATTGTGTGTGGTTGTTGTGACCCCAGGGCAGGACCCAGCCCTTGGCCTCGTTGAACCTCACCCAATTGGGCTGGGCCCATGGATCCAGCCTGGCCAGGTCCCTCTGCAGAGCCCTCCTCCCCTCCAGCAGATCAACTCTTCCACCCAGCTCGTGTCATCTGCAAACTGGCTGAGGGTGCCCTTGATCCCCTCGTCCAGGTCATTGATAAAGACGTTAAACAGAACTGGGCCCAAAACTGAGCCCTGGGGGACACCAGGTCAGATATGTACATATGAACAGCGGACACATACATGCATTATACTTAACCTTGTTACGAAGAGAAATATAAAAAGATTCTGCCTGAAACCAGTTTACATGTATCGGTTCTCTTCCTTTCACCTTGTGTAACTTCACCAAAAAATGGTGGTTTGCAGATTTTTTTCATATCACTGGTAACAAATATTCCAATCACCAAGGAGTTATTACCATAATTAGTAATTCTACTTATAATATAGATATAACCTGACTCTCTGTTATGTTACCATGGAATACTCTTTATGGCTTAGGCTTGTGTGGAAACAAAAGCTTAATGTTTCGCTTTGTGAGTGTGTTTCCTTCCAAAGGATCTGTTCCCAAAGCATTCCTATATTTTTAATTTAGTAAAATATGATTTGATGAATGCTGTTTGAGCAAGTAATCTAGGATTACTCTTTTGAAGGAAGACTGTTATCTTACTATTTTTAAGATTAATTCATCCACTGCGTTCATCAGGTGTTCTAAAATCTGTAGCCAGACTGGATTTAAAGGGAGCAATAGCATGACTGATTATTTCTGTGTCTGATTTGCATCAGTTTTTGAAAACGGTACTGTGGAACGAAGTACATATGAGTGTGAATGTCTCTCTAGTTAATGTGATTAGACCTTTTCCCATCAGCTGTAAATATAGACTAATGCATTAGTGTCATGTGGTCCTAGGAGATATCATAGGGAAATAAAAGCAGTTATTTGTACCAAATGCTGTAGTTTCAGAATCATGCCTCTCCAAGTTCTAGAAATATGTTACAAATTTTCATAACGGCACACACGTCACTGTTTTGTTCCAAAGCTAACAGCAGGTAGTGCTGTTCACGCTGTTTGCCTAGACAGATTTCAAACTCTCCAGTGCTTTCAGTGCTAAAACTTAGATGAATACTTACATATTTGAAACCAGTTTTAAGAGAGAAACTTGTGGCAGTGCTGAAGTAACTAATAGCATCTTGGGACAGCATTAGTGAAATGCAATTAATGTTCACATAGTACACAAACCTTTTGTATTTTGTTTTGTATCCTTCTCAATTTAATGTTTAATGCTTGGTGTATTTTCTGCTCTGTCTCATACTAATGCAAATGGCTGTCAGAAATCCAAGCTTCATGCATTCCCTTTTAAAGGTACTTTTTTTTTTTAGAGCTAACTGATATGAAATAAAACTTTATTTGGGTGATTTTGGAACACTTTTAAAAGTTGTAATAATTATTTTTAAATGCTTTTAATTAGAATCTTAGTATTAAAATTATTGCTTACAGCACAAATATGTTGATAAACAAGTACATAAACCATTTAAATTAATTAAGGGCTTATTTCTAATGGATGCTCGATCAATTGATGATAGAAGTGTCTCAGCTATGTCTCTCCCATGATTTCTATGAGAAAATGTAGTTTAGTAGAAAAGATGGATTCTACATATTTGTTCATTCAGCTGGTGCATCGTGTACTTACTACACGATCCCAAAGACTTGGTCTTTCTGTCTGCTATGTCCATTCCTTTCTTTTTGCAAGAAGAAGATAATCTTGTTGAACAACCGTATGCACCTTTGGCCTCCTTTCACAACTTTCAGTGACATGGTTAGGAGCCCTAGCTGTGCGACGTGTGTCTTCAACACAACTTCAGCACTGAGAACGTCTCTACACGTTGGTTTTAGTAGCCTGTGGTCCCACTGGAGAACCCCCCTGGTGCCAGTGGAAGTTGTGCGTATAGAACAGAGGCAACAGGAGCCCCACTCTTCCAGAGCCTCTGGAGAATAATTACATGAGTTTGATACAGAAATCAGCCAGTCAGTTAATTCCTTATGGGTTTTTTGGGTTTTTTTAGGTTGGGTGATGTACAGCAGGCATACTGGGTAATCCCAGTAGGAAAAGTGTCACTGTTTTTTTGTCTTGCATGTGGTTTCTGGATAAGAACTGAGCACCCTTTTACTAGATGGGGGAGGTGAGAAATGCTTATTGTAAAATGATGATTTATAGTTTTAAAGCACATAATTATTTTTTTTCTTTATTCCTAGATAATCACTGAGATCACTGAGACTGTTAGCACAGACTTCACAGGTCCTAAAACTACCACCTATACTGTTGAGCATGAAAAACCTTCGGTTGAGGATGCAGCACCTCCAGTCAGAAAAAAGACCATACGGACAAAAGTGGACCCATCAAAGTTTTTGACACCTTATCTGCAACACAGTAATAAAATGAAGGACCTATTCAGTGAGGTAAATTGCCCCACGTCTCTTATTTCTTGAGGAACACCAACCTTAAAAATATTTAATAGGTGTTATTGCAAACCTTCATGCTACTGTTTTGTCTCCTGCACTTCATTTCATGATGTGTATCAATTAGTGTTATTTTCTTCTTTGAATTAGCCCATCTCTTGCCCATGTCCTGCGTAAGTGCATTAGGTAATCATTAAGCACAAAAAGTGGCTTGAGGCAGATGGCTGAATATTGTCAGAGATGTTGGTCAATAGGACTCCTGCACTATCTGACTTGGATATCTGAGTGAAGGAAGATAACAGGGACTAATGTCTATTGAATAGCAAACCTCAATATTTTTTATAACAGTATATTTCTCTATCCCTCCATATATATCCAAGAAAAATCCTTGTGCACAGTATATAGCAACAAGCACCAACCTAAATTCCTGGTAGGGAATATCGAAGTCCAGTAGACCAATACTGTACGATGTTGTGAAGAGTGGAAAACTGCTCTGCACAGATGCAGATGGTATCAGATCCCTTTTCCTAAATGTTTGTTAATGTATATTACCAACCGACCTGCATTCACTGTTTAAGGGTTGTGTGAGATCGTAGGTCTAGGACTGCTACCCTCACCCACATACTTTCCCTATCTTTGGTCACTGAAACAAATAACTGTAAATTTATTGATATCTAGCTTCTAAGGAGAATATACTCAATTAGAGGTGATCTAAAACAGGCTTAAGGTAGAAATGGACTTTTTTCTGTTGTGTCAGATGGAAGAAAGTCAGTTGGTTAAAATAAGCATAATTCTGCAAATGTAACTGAGTAATGCCAGTTTGTATTATTCAATAATCTGCCCCAAATTCCTATACTAACCAGATAAATAAATCAATAATTGCTACATACATTTCTGCCACAGCTTTAGGATATGTCTTAATTATATTTGTCATTATTTTCTTTCAGAACAAGTACAAAGAAAAATATAGAAAAGAAAAAGGAAAGCCATATGCTTCCACAGTTGATACCCCAGAAATTCGGAGAATCAAGAAAGTGCAAGACCAGCTCAGTGAGGTAAGTATCAATTGTTATAAGAAAAAATATTTACTGAATGGTAAAGAAGCAAATTGAGTCACAATTCAAAATGTTAGATAAGAAGGGATAATTGTTTGATGATATTGTGATAAGGCCATCTGAATGTTTAGCAGACACTTTGTCAGATTACAAGAGCGAGGAACACAGAGTATATGACATTTTGAGTTCTGTGATGTGGGTTGGAATTTAGGCCTTTCAGGAAGGGAGATGTGATGGTTCCTTTTTAGCTGACTAATAGTTCTGGTTTGTTGTGCTTAAAGAGGGTTTGAAAATTTCTGATCAGAAGTTACAGGCACAGGGGATGATGGCAATCATTAAATTTGAAGATTCCACACACTATGTCCTGCAGTCATCATGAATGATGTTCCTGATGAATTTTTGGTGAGGTTAAGTTGTGCACTGTGTGAATAACCCTAGAATTTTGTTTTTAAAATGTGTTTAAAACATTTTTGTTTTTGTAAAGCAACTGAAAATCAGTTTCCTAAAGAGGTACTGGGATAAATGATGCTTAGATTCTCCAAGTGTTGCAAAATGAACTTCTGTGCATCTTGTAATTTACTACGGGATTTTCCAGGATGTGCTGTCCCCTCTGTGTGAATCCCACTCTTAGTGATCTGCCTTTGAAATCTTGCCCAAGTGCAGCTCCCCTGCTGATGCAGCGCCTAGTTCTGGAAGCGCCTCTAGTTCTGGAAGCCAGCTCATCCTCCCCTCTTTCTTCTAAGCAGCCCTAATCTACCTTTCAACGATACACCTCACAGTTTGGGAAACTGAAATCCACCTGCAAAGGCTTCTTAATTCTAAGGCAATAGGGGGAGCTCAGTCCCTAGGAATGGGAACCCCTAAAGCTGAGGGGTGGTCACCTAACCTAACCACGTTCACTGAGAAGAGTGTGCATTGAATCCCGCTCCACTCCTGCCTTAGGATATAGTGAGGGATGTGCTGCAGCAATCCACGCGCTAATGCTGACTGAGCCTGCTGTCAAGCTGGGAGTGGTATAACTGCATTAGGATGACTTTTGTGCCCAGGCTGCTGGTTTGCCATGGTAATGTGGCTATATTGTCTTTGGCACTGCAGCTGGTGTTTACGTGGTAATGGACTGTGAAATTGAGATATACTGCATAGCATGGAGATCTCTCGATCTCATTATACAGGCTGCAAGTACTCTTAGAAAGGACTCTGTGATTACAGAAGGGCACTGCCTCTAACTTGGATTCACAGCTCTTGAAACTGTCTCAAAGCTGCATTTCCTTCTCAGTTAATTCACAAGATCCATTTGTTTCCATAGGTTTCATCTCTAAGGAGCAACTAGTCCTAAATGCTTTATTGAATTCAGATTTGGGGTGTTTACAGTACTAAGTGTAAAAATGTCAATATTCTGCTTTTTAAAAAAAACCTCTCTGTTTTTGCTGTAAGAATAAATGCGTTTTGTTGTGCATTGATCTAGGTTAAATACCGCATGGCTGGTGCAGTTGCTAGAACTATTTGCCACGTTGACGAAAAGGCCAAGGATATAGAACATGCAAAGAAGGTGTCACAGCAAGTGAGCAAGGTGAGCGAGATCCGATTTTCTGGAAGGGTTGTGAACATTTGTTGCTCGTGAGGTTACTGATAGGAATAAAGTTTTGAGCTCGGGGCACTAAAGCAATGTTTGTAGAACAGTTTAGAAGCACAGAGAGAGATAGCAGAGAGGTTGATAAGGCAAGTATAAATATAATCTCAAATGTTTCCAGTTGATGTCTTCAAGTGTCACTGGTTTGAGACTTTCACATTGAAAAAATCTCTAGAGCAGGTAGTTTTTTCACAAATGTAAATATTTTTCTAATAATAGAGTAACAAATGTGCTGATCTTTCTTTCCAGGTGTTATATAAACAGAACTGGGAGGAGAATAAGGACAAGTACCTGCTTCCCCCTGATGCTCCGGAGCTTGTCAATGCAATAAAAAACACAGCAATGTTCAGTAAGGTAAGGGAAAAGACCATCACAGGTCTAGGCAGCTGAAGTGCAGGGAGCATTCCAAGTCAGAGATTAATTCATAATGAGTATTCTGGCATTTTTCTGCTTTTAAGAAACTCTATACCGAAGACTGGGAAGGAGACAAAACATTATTCTATCCATACAATGACAGTCCAGAGCTCAGAAGGGTGGCACAGGCTCAAAAGGCTCTGAGTGATGTAAGTATCAAAGCCCGACTGACAATTGGGTCACTCTTGTGATGTAACTTGGTAGTCTTTGTGGTGGACTTTGACTAGATGTAAAAACTTGATAATGGAACAGAAAATAAAAATGCATAGGTGTGCACTGGTAGCTCTGATAGTAGTGCTATTTCAATAGGAAAGTGTGTACTCCATATTAGAGTATACATCTGTTGGCAATTTGATGCCAGATTATGAATGAATGAAATAATTCATTTGTTAAAGATCTTCTGAGATAATCAGTAAGAAGACCTCGAGTATCTCTCAAAATGTGTGGAGAAACTCTCAGGGTTGGCTGTAAGCCCAGTTCACTGTTATGGGTCTAGAAATCTGTCTCTCTAAAACAGTGGTAAGAAAAGTCAGGAATTTGTGAGGCTGAGTGATTTGCTGATAAATAGAACTCTTCAACTGTGAGGATTTCAGGTCTCACTTAAAGATTTCACTGAATTTTGCAGATGTCCCAAAGTTCACTAGTCCATGTTTATCAGGAGGAAGAGTGTAATATACTTGAAAACTTTCCCAGGGAACTGATTCTTTTCCATAGTCTCTTATCAACAGACTTCTCGGTAGTCTTACAGAGTACACTGATTGAAAGAGTTTATGCTGCAGGTAGCCATGGGCAGAGCTACTTTTGTTATGGTGGCATTAGCAGAGTGAAGAGTAAATGTTCTGATCCCTGAATTGGTAGTTACTGTAAATGTTTACTTCTTTCATATTTTTAGATTGTCTACAAAAAAGGGCACGATGAACGAAAATCTAAATATACTCCTCTGCCAGATCCACCTGACGTGGAACAAGCCAAGAAAGTGACAAGGCAGCTGAGTGACGTGAGTAGAATGCAGTGCTCTTCTTTCTGTAGAAATCTCACTTTTGGTGTTAGAGGCAAAAAGGGAGCTAAAGAAAGGGAAAGCGAAAGAAAAGACTGGAGCTCATATGAAGACCCCTTTGATTTTCAGTGGCAAAAGTCAGTTCCTTTCTTCCTCAAATGTCTCAGAGAAAATCCTGCCCTGTCTTAGGTGAAAGGCTGAACTTTATTCCTATTGGTGAGTTTAGTTTTCACGAAACATTTCTGCTTCTACGATACACAAATTACCTCTTATTCTCCCTCTTCTTTTGTCTCCTGCTTTACACTTCCTGTGTTTACAGGAGAAAATAGTAAACAACATCCATTTTGCCTTTCTCTTAAATGAAACAATGACATGTGAATGTATATCTGGTTTTGGAGTGAGTTACTTGCTTGTAAGGAATAACCTCATTTTGCTGAAAAGTTGCCTAGCCCAACGGCGCAGGTTACATTCTAAATGTTCATTTTGATGTCAAACCATGGTACAGGTACATATCCCAAGCATTCTTAAGTTCATGGATACCAATCAGTGGAAATGTCTGGCAACTTAGATAACCATTTCCTTATTTTCACACTGAATTAACAAGTAACATTCAACATGAAGCTCCATAACTGTGTGGCATAATTAACAAGGACTCTAGCACCAGTCCTTGTCAATGCATTTTAGGTATACTTAGAATAAAACACAGCTGAGGAATGCAGGAAGTGAAGTGAAATAGAGGAAGACCAACTTCTGCTGAAGAAACTGGAACTAAGTTGTGTAATCTTGTAAGACAGAAGTAGGATTTTAACTCAGTTCAGAAATTAGCTATTATGATGAGGACACACATGATTTTATTGCTGTCTGTTGAAAATCTGCTGTTTAAGATTAGGGAGTTACAGTATTCACTTATGGCTGCAAAGCCACTAAAAAAATACTGTAGTGAACCCATTTGGAAGGTGAAAAGGTAGTATTTAACTTAGAGAAAATTTCTGGAATCTTATTCTTCCATAGCTTAAAAGCTAATTGTCATCAAGAAAATTTTTAGTTGTGTAAAAAGCAAGATCAGTATCATAATTCTTTGAAATTAATAAAACAGTAAGCTATATATGTATCTCCAAAACAATAAAATGTGGTAACAACTAAAAAGGCATTGGAGAAGCTGTATTCTTTGTGATAAGCAGTGCAGCTGTGGCTGAAAATGCATTGGAACACTGAGTCAAAACTCAGGAAGATGTTTTGTTATTAGGCAGACAGGAACTGTCTGTTTAAACTGTTGATACTTGATTTCCTTCTACTTGAATGTAGTCTAATAGAAATCACGTATACCAGACAACCCATATATTAAAAGGGTTTTCTTATAACAAGTTTCAGCGACGATAAATTCCTGCTTAACCAATGGGCGATACTATGTCCCAATATTATGTGACCAGTGAGAAAACAGAACTAAAAGAATATATTAGTGAATGTGTCATAGAGAAATTTTCTTATTAATAACTGTCTTCTAGAAGAGATAACTTATTTCACCTATTTATCCTCTTTTTTTGGTCAGGAGAGGTACTAAGAGAAATAACCGAATGCTGAAGTAGTTAGGCCAATCATGTTTAAGGTGTTTTTAACAAAAATTGATAAAGTGGTTATAAGGCAGATGTAAAATGTGAAGCAACTTTAAAAAGAAGGCTTTTAAAAACAAACCTGTCAAGTGGAAATTGAGCTGCATCTTGGGGATTAAATTTTATTTTTTGATTTCATTATAGATTATTTACCATGAGGACTATAAAAACAAGATCAAAGGCAAGTGGAGTCAAACTCCATGCTATGATGTTGCAGTTGCAAAGATGAATGCGGAAAATATAAGCATGGTAAGTGAATTCTTCAGAAAATCTTGAAATGAACAGCTTTATCCTCAGTTTATGTTAATGTGGAAAATACTGATTAATTTTGCCTGCTCCATTTGTGGCATTTCTCTTTTCCTAAACAAGCTACATCGTGGATGTCTGATTTGTAATGTTAGTGCAATTGATATGTTGTTATCTGTTTGTGTCTGTTCCTAACAGAGAAAATACCAGGAAGACTTTGAAAACATGAAAGACCAAATCTACTTTATGCAGACTGAAACTCCAGAATATGAAGCTAATAAGCGAGTTTCGGATAATGTCAGTAAGGTATGTTACGTGTGCTCCCATTTATTTAGCTTGAGTATAGTTCTGAAGTCAGGCCAGCGTGTGCTGTTTTGTCAAGTGTCAAAAACATTTTCTTCTATGCAAAAGATGTATTCTTGTGTGCATTGCACTAGGAAGCTTATAGCAACTCCTAGCCTTGCTTACGATCTTCCACAATAGTACCCATGAAGCAGAATTTTCTTTCAGTGAAGTAGAATTTGCTTCATTGTTTGTTCTGATTATGTTATGCTGGAACAAATCAATACTGTTAACCACGACTGACTTAAGCTAGCTGAACTTGGCTCAGTATTTTCATATTTATTCATCCTTGCTCAGTGCATCGCAGTGATGTGCTGGCCCCGTCTTTTGTTCAAAATATGGAATTTGTTTGGCTTTTGCATTTTATGCAATAGTACATGCATCAGCAAAGACAATCTTATGTCATCAGTTGTAAGAATGTCACTATTCTGAGATATCAACTGATATTTGAAAAATTCCAGTGTTCGGAAAGGGGCTTAGAGGCGGGGACACCTGCTAAATAGCTCTCACTTCTGACGCTGCCTCCCGTCTTGTCACCCATGCACTCCTGTGATCTGGGTGCCTTTCATGGTCCTTTGCCATCATGAATCATAAGCTAAAAAAAGGGAAATTTTCCTGAAAAGTTCAAGATTATATAGGTTAGCGAGCATTTGGCTTTTAATACTGATCTTTAAAACCTCACCCTTTTCATTTTTATTTTTTTAAAGATAAAATACAGAGCAGACTATGAAAAGAACAAAGCTATTGCAGATTATAATGTGCTTCCTGCTACAGAGAACCCATTGCTGAGGCAATTAAAAGCTGCAGGAAATGTGCTGAGTGATGTAAGTATTATGAAAGTACAGCTGGATGATTTTTCAGTTATGTAGAATGAACCAAACTCATCATTTCTTCACAAGGCTCGTCCTTTGGATCCGTTAGTATTTTTAGTTTTACAGACCAATATTTGTCATGAGATACCACCAACCACAACAGCATAGATAAGAAGTCATTTCTCCACAGCAGAGTGTGATGATAACTGTGGCATGTTATGGGGACGGCTAATTATTGTATAGTTCTTTTAGATCCCCATGGAAAATGGGTCACAAGATGACAGTTTATCCCTTACTGTTTTAAGGAGCTTCAACAGATGCCAATAATGATAAAATATGTGTTACTTTTACATGTTCATATCTATTGTATTCTGGTTACTCACTGTAATGGCTTTCTTGATTTCTCTCTTGGTTTTATCTGTATGGAAAGAGATTGCATATGTCTTGGTGTCAGAAGTTCAAGACCCCTTAGTCAGACCTTTCCGTTTTCCCTTACAAACCTAATAGTCACAAGAAAAGTTTCTTTAAAAAATCATAGGGAAAAAAGTGCCATCTGTTTTTCAGTTTTCTGGGAAAGCTTTTCTTTGCAATGATTCCACAGTTTTACTCATGTCGTTTTTAATGTGTTGTGAGTGAGTTGCAGTGTAATCTACTGCATTGTCTGACATTATTTTCTTTTGCAGAAATTATACAAAGAAGCCTATGAACAATCAAAAGGAACCAGCATGAATTACTGTGACACACCAAAGTTCCAGACTGATACTGTTCTGAAGAATTTTAGTGATGTATGTATTTGATTTATGGTATGTCATTCAGTACTGACACTCTTGATTACTTTTGCTTATCAACTTGTGATTGTTTTTCCAGGTAAAATATAAAGATGCATATCAAAAGAATATTTTAGGACACTATTTGGGCAGCTTTGAGGACCCACATCATACACACTGCATGAAAGTTGAAGCTATGAAGAGCGATGTAAGTGTGGCAATCATTCTGTTTTCACCATCGTACTTTCATTTCAGAGAAAGCTCAATTATGGTTTCTTACTCAATGTTGATTTTATTCCTAGAAAAATTACAAAGCAGATTATGAGGAGGAGAAGACAAAATGCTACTTCCCTCAGACCATAACTCAAGAGTACGAAGCTATTAAGAAGTTAGATCAGTGTAAAGATGTAAGTACAGGCAGTAGCGGTTATCAAATCACCAGTTGCACGCAGAGTATCTGCTTCTGGGGCATGTCAAAATTTACTGAGCGATTCCTGTTAACTTCCATGATTTTGAATTTGGCCTTTTTAGCGTATGCGACTTTTACAAACCATACTAATCTGTATTTTAGAGCCTTTTGTGACATCTAGTGATCAGGACAGATATAGCACAATCTAAACATAAAGCTAAAGAAGTTAAAACATAAAATTAGACAAGTAGTACCAACATGAAGAATGAACCTCAAGCATTTACCTGCTTAAGTCAGCATATTTTTAAGTTAATACTTTAAAAGCACTTTAGTTACTTTATTAAAACTAATTTTATTTACTTGATCAATAATTGGAAAATACTTTAAATACACATTTGTATATGATATGCAATATACTGCATAATATACAGTATATAATATCTATAAAACTATCAAAAATACTTTACATTAATACTTTAAAAATACCTTAAAAATTTATATGCTCCCTGATTATGTTAAAAAGTAACATGAGAACCATTGTGCATGACAGTGCTTACCTGCATGCATGCTGTAACTGCTAACTATCCCAAGTGATATTATATTACTGTCTTACAAAATAGTTTACCATATATACATTTCCTGCAAATGTATGTATTATTTTCCTTCAGCACACCTACAAAAAGCATCCTGATCAAACCAAATTTACTCAAGTGACTGACTCTCCAGTACAGAAGCAAGCAGAGATCAACAGCAAACAGCTGAGTGATGTAAGTAAACTTAGAAGACATGTTGCTAAGCTCTGACGTTATCAATTTCTGCACTGTGGCCACCTTCACTTTATGGTGTGGTTTTAAGAGAACTCCTGAAATGAATGTGTAAATGAATGTGTGTGCGCACAGGCACAAAACCATTTGTGTGTATTTGCAGTTCTGTTCCAGTGGAAGATCACCTGAAAATCAGATATTTTTTTTTAGTTATTCAAGTGGCCGCTCATGTCAAGATTTAGTATGTATGTTTGTAATTTTGTTTATGTCCATCATTCTTAATGTATTCTTTGCACCAGTTAAGTCAATGGACTTTATACCATTCACTTGGCAAGGTCTAGGATTTCATCTCTCTTTTTCTTTTTGAGTGAAGTAACATGAGATCTTTAAGTTGTGTCGCAGCGTTGTTAAGAATTTAGAATCTATAAACATTGGGCTGCTAAATTTATTTCTTTATTTTTCTTTGCAGATAATGTATAAGTCCAAAGGTGAAGAAATTATTCACAAGTACCACCTCCCTCCAGATGTGCCCCAGTTTATACAGGCTAAAGTTAATGCCTACAATATTAGTGATGTAAGTATATTTTGCATCCAGAGCTCTTGATTCAACTTACAATACGAAGTTTCTGTTAGCTAGAAACTGTTAATTATAAATTCACCTTTTTTCCTAGAACTATTACAAAACGGGATTGGAAGAATTAAAATCAAGGGGGTATGATCTCAAAAGTGATGCTATTCCTATCCGAGCTGCCAAGGCTGCTAGGCAGGCTGCCAGTGATGTAAGTACATCCTTCCTAAACGAACGGTTTAATTCAGAAGAGTTTACTTAAACAATGTTTGCCATTATGTTTATTAGGGGTATCCGAAGGATAACTTCTTTATTGCCTTTTTTGATCATGTTATTGGATGTATTTAACACAGTTATATTTTTATTGGTGTATCATTGCTTCACTAATGTATTTGTTTAATTACATTCAGAAAAGGCTGTTTCATTTTGTAATTCTCTGTGAATAAATAGGCTGTCTTGCACTCCGATATGGTTAAGGAAAATCGTGAGGAGTAGGTCAGTAGTGACAGCTCCATAGGCAATGGACCCCTGAATTCTCTCTGTCCTTAATTATAGACCTCATCATAAATGAGGTGAAAAACTCCGGGACCTCACTGGGTTTTGGGTAGAGTCTTGGGGATGACATCACAGAAGTCCCTTAGTATTTTAAGACTTCTCTCCCTCTTATGATCAGTACAAGTGCGATAATACTGATTGGAAAGCTAACTAACTGAATTGTGTAGCAGTGAACAGTAAAGAGATATGTGTCTGGTTTTATGAAGATGTGTGCTCACTGACTTCCATGTGAGGGATATTCTTTGTAGAGAACAAAGGGTAGCCTTTGCTTTTAATTTACTTATTGCTGAGTTACTACACTTAAGATTACATTCTCCATGTTCTGTTATATTCTAACAGGTTAACTATAAAAAAGACTATGAACTTGCCAAGGGTAAACTCATTGGCTTCAAGAGCCTCCAAGATGATCCCAAACTCGTTCATTATATGAAGGTAGCCAAGATGCAGTCTGAGCGAGAGTACAAGAAAGATTATGAGAAAACAAAAACTAAGTACAACATTCCACTGGATATGGTCAATGTTGTTGGTGCCAAGAAGGCTCAAGAGATAGCCAGCAATGCTAATTACAAGAACCTCCTACATGACTATACTTATTTACCAGATGCAATGAATGTGGAGCTGACCAAAAATATGATGGAGATTCAGAGTGATGTAAGTAAAACCTCATGTGAATAGAATTTATTTGAGATGCCTCAAGCAAAAGCTATGAAGACTCAGGAGAGGTCCCTGAATCATTTTTTCTAATTCCTAACCTTTAAAACGTTGTTTTCACTTCTTTATTAGAATGCATACAAATCAGATTATAATAACTGGATGAAAGGCATTGGTTGGATCCCCATTGGCTCCCTAGAAGTAGAAAAAGCTAAAAAAGCCGGAGATGCCTTGAATGAAAAGAAATATCGCCAGCATCCGGACACCATTAAATTTACAAGTGTGGTGGACTCTCCAGTAATGGTCCAAGCCAAACAGAATTCAGTTCAACTCAATGAGGTAAGCAGAGGAAGAAGTGGGTGCTATAGTAAAACAGAGATGCATCTACTGAAGAGCTGAGAGTTGTCTTTTTAAAGTGCTATTAGCCTGAAAGTGTTTGTCTGTGTTGTCATTGTTTTGTGCTCTGATTTTGCCTGAGTAATTTCCTGGTATAAGTCTGCAAAGCTGTATGGAAACCACGTGGCTCTTGCCGTTCATATCAGCTGATTCTGTCCATTTATAGTTAAAGTATATTTGAAATACATTTGATTTAAGAAATGTGAAAGTTTCAAGTTGTTTATTGGTGTTTTACCACCTACAACAATGAATGAATTACAGAATGTTTGATGAATCACAATACGTCCCTCATTATAAACCAGCAAGCTTTGTTTTATGTTGCACTCTCCTATCATCCCTTTATTATTGCACTCTTCAGAAATGGGTTCTTATGTCCATTAAAGGGCTTAATTTTACTGAGTAAAATTCTTTGTGAAAAGTGCAGCCTCAGTCTTTATGAGATAGGTGCCAGTGTATATTTATTTGCAAAATCAAACATAAACCATCAGTTAATTTACAGTGAGCTGGGGCTGGATATACAAGGAAAGAAGGATTTATTTCTGTATCTGTATTTTACAGAAACTGTACAGATCTTCTGGAGAGGAAGTTAAACATAAATATACTCTTACCCCAGATGTCCCACAGTTTATCCAGGCTAGATACAATGCAGCTAACATCAGTGATGTAAGTGACTTCTTTACAACATGTTTTACACATTGTTAATGAATTTTTGAGTAATATGTTACAGCTACACTCATATTGCAGATTCCTTTCATTGATACGCAGTTCTATATAATCAGCTTGTATCACTGTAATTTTTCATTCTTGGTGTCATCTGCATTTTCAATCGGATACCATTTACTCATGTAATGATTTGGTTAATTTAATTAATAGATAAATCCATTCTCATAAATGAAGACTGATAGTTGTATATGATCCTCACTGCATCTGCTTCTAAAGAATTGCCTGGGGTAGCTTAGGAGTAACTTTGACTTGCATATAGTTCATGTGATTACTAGGTTCTCTAGAATAACATGGATTTTCTTTTTTAGGCATATTATAAACAAGACTACCATGATCTAATAGCTAAAGGGAACAATGTGTCACTTGATGCTATTCCAATTACTCGAGCCAAGGCTTCAAGAAACATTGCCAGCGATGTAAGTATATATTCCAGGTATACTTCTCTTAGGCATTTAGTAAAAAAGTTGTCCCTTACAGGCCATGTGGTAGACCTGAGATGTTGCACAAGTTTTACTGGAGTCAGTATTATGAGAAGGAGATTCTTAGCCTTTCCCAGAGGCTTAGTTTGTGTAGAACTTATTTTTTGCTCATCTTGTTTGCTTTACATAGGCAAATGCTTTGTTTCTTAACCCACTTTTCACAGGAGAAATGAGATCAGTAGTTCTTGCAATCATTCTGTGACAAATTGCCAGAAAATGTGCTACATTAGCACCTATTTTCAGACCATGAGACAGTATGTGCTAAGGGTGCCTTGGTTATACAGTGGAGTATGGCTTGTACATGAATCAGAAGGCCTTAGAGGGCAAATTGTATGAAGTGGGATATGTTTCAGTGGTTTCATATAACTAGAGGAAGCTGTTCAGTCATACTCCATTTGTTTGCTATTGCTTTCAAATTACTGAGAAGGATTGTCTAAATTATCCTGGTATTTTTCACACACCTTTCAACACAGGAATACTTAGGAAACGTTTTCCCTTCCCTATGAGAAAAGCTAATGTTGACGAATCTTACTGTGGTGTGTGTAACCTGTTGTGTACAGGTGGAACAAGAAAAGCTGATGTAGGTGCAGTCACTGGGTGTGCCATTTAGGAGAGCTTATCTTTCTGAACTGCTTGCAGCTTCTTTTTCCAATGAAAGATGTGAGAGCTTTTCTTTTTTCTTTTACATTAATGTGGACATCAATAGCCACACCACAGTACATTTGATCTCTTTCCTCTGTTTCTAGTATAAATATAAAGAAGCATATGAAAAGGCTAAAGGAAAACAGGTTGGTTTCAGAAGCCTACAAGATGACCCTAAGCTTGTCCACTACATGAATGTAGCAAAGATTCAGTCTGAGCGTGAGTACAAGAAAGACTATGAGAAGACCAAGACTAACTATCATACGCCTCCTGACATGTACAGTATCCAGGCTGCTAAGCAGTCTCAGGATGTAGCTTCTAATGCCCACTACAAAAACCTGATCCATCACTACACTTACCTGCCAGATGCCATGGATGTTGAGCTTGCAAAGAACATGATGCAAATTCAGAGTGATGTAAGTATTTCAATGATTGCAATGCCATGGATGTTTTCCTGCACGCTGTGAAAAACAAAATAGGAGTTTATATTCAATGATAATTGCCATTACTGTATGGGAATGGTCTGTTTTTCTTATGCCTTGGGGAAAATCATTAGAAGTTTTATCAGCTGATGGTGGCATTTAGAAATACCAAATTCCAGGTGAGTTCTTCACAACAGGATTTTGATGTTGGCGTATCAGTGGAGAGCAGACTTCTGTAATACTGAATTCAAATGAACTTTTTTTCCACATTTTCTCAGAAAACTGTATTTTGCGACTGACATAATTTTATTTTATTCTTTAAGATTTCTTTTCAGTTGTCTTGTTTTGTCTTCACGTGAGAGAGATATGATAGTGTAGCTGGACTATTATTAACTTCATTTAGGAATGAAGGAGTGGAGAAAATGTAACTATTTATATTATTAGAAATACATTCTGGAGATCTCTAGCACAGGACATCTCTCCTAGAACCTTCTTGGTCCTTCTTGCAGATACAGAGTTTTAAATGGTTGACTGGGCGTGCATGGTTGCACTCTGCACCTCTTTGTATACTGTGGAATTTGACTCTATATGGGTCCCTATGTAGGACCACTCATTTTAGAGTTAGAACACGGAAGGGTCTTAAAAAAATCCTTCCATTCCATTCAGACTGTGCATTACCCCTGTCTGAATGTTTAGATGGGATAACCTGCGTATTTTGTAGCCAGGATAAATTTTTCTCTTGCAGTCTGTGAATTCTGCGTATTTTCCTGTAGGAGGAACTATAGGAAGAAAACCAAAAATGGAGCCTCTGCTCTGCAGACCTTTGTAGAAGGCCAAGTCTCATAGAGTCTGCTGAAACACAGAACAGTTTAAACCATGTTAAATGGTCACCATATGGTAGTTTAGCAGTTAATAAGAATTGAAGGTTGAAATTTGTCACATGGGTAAAAGAAAAGGAAGGTTAGTAAATAGTGAAGGGATGCTACAGTTTATAAGAAATGAATCATGAAGAAAAAATACAGTATCTCATTTTCTTCCTTATGAAATCCTGGAGAAGCATAAAAAATACCTGTTGTTCCCTTCAAGAATTTAGAAATATTTCCTGCTAACATAGAACACACTAGCTAGACTATGCAATTATTGTTTTAAATGGAATTATTACAGTTTTGTGGGAAAATCTTGGTGAATGTTGGCTTTCTCTCCTTCAGAATGCATACAAACAAGAGTATAACAGCTGGTTCAAGGGTATCGGATGGAGTCCTCTCGGTTCTCTGGATGTTGAAAAAGCTAAGAAGGCTGGAGATGCGTTAAATGAAAAGAAATATCGTCAGCACCCAGACACCATCAAATTTACAAGTATACCAGATTCAATACCAATGGTTTTAGCTCAGCACAACACCAAGCAACTGAGTGATGTAAGAATTTTTTTCATTATTAATGCAATATAGCGATTTGGGCTTTTTTTTACCATATTTATGATTTATTTATTCCTGTCTGATATTCCATCTAAAAAAACCCTTTAAATTTTAAAAACTGTAAAAATAGTAAAACTGCAATTTTATTATTGCAAACGTGGTAAGAATTAAGTACTGTGGCATTGTCTCTATTTGTTAGCCCTGTTACCTACCTTGTACTTGTCAACAAGTATTTCTTTATTCTCCCTTGCAGGTAACATATAAGCAAGAGGGTGAAAAAGTAAAACACAAATACACCCTGGATCCCGATGTTCCTCAGTTTATTCAAGCCAGGGTCAACGCCTTCAATTTGAGTGATGTGAGCACATAACCAATAGTTTGTTCAATAATATATTTATTTGTCATTTACTTAAGAGAAAAAACCCTTTTATTTATTTGTGCTATGATATTGAATATAGAAATGCACAAGCTCTGAAATCAACTAAACTTTTACTTCTAGAAGTCAATGAGTTTTGTGCTTGTTAAGTAAATTTTTAAACTGTTTGAGCATTCATGAACATAAATGCATTTCAGTGCTTTATTGCCAAACTACCTGGATAGACTGAACAAAAAAAACAGCATGACCTATTATTCAAATTCCTGTAGTTTGGAGATTTTCGTTATCTACTTTTATATAAAACACTTTGCATAGGCAAGCAGTACAAGTTCTCTGTATGTTGCTTCCTGCTGCTGGCTTTCAAGGGAAATTAACTCATCCTGTGGAAAGATAGTACTGCCTTTTTCTGCCATTCAGCTACTAGTCTGCCTGCTTTCCATCACTTCTCACGTCCATCCAACACCATGAAGATCTCCACTTACAGTATCAGTTTTATTGCCTTCATGTTATTACATTTTTTGGTGGCATTATCAGGCCTCCAGGAACTAGGTAAAAGCTGACATCTCTTTTAATCCCACCCTGTAGAAAGCCTTGAAATACTGAGTCTGTCCAGATGCTAACTGCCAACAAAAAATCAGCCAGACTGTTTTCTTCAGTCACTTAAGACCACCTGGCCTGATTTTGAAGCTAACAGGAAAAAAATTCTGAAGGTTCAGTTAAATGAAAAAAGGGGGTTGCTTAAGCAAGGGCAAAAATGCCACTGATAGAGTTGTTCCGCATAAAAATTTCAAAAAATAGTTATGGAGTTAATGATTTAGCTACATGATCAAACTGGTTGTCTTGAAGGACTCTCTTATCTTTATGGTAGATTTATTTATCATAATGTAACTGCAGTTTGTGTACAGGTTAACATTTTTCCCTGAAATTTCACAGACTAAATTGAATATTTTGACTCCTGTAACAAAAATATGGGCTTAAACAACTTTGTTAAAATTGCTACTCCTAACGATGCGAACTCATACCCTTTTTCCCTATAAGGCTAACTACAAAGCAGACTGGAAAAAAACCATTGCCAAAGGATATGATCTCAAACCAGACGCCATTCCTATTATTGCTGCTAAAGCTTCTCGAAATATTGCAAGCGATGTAAGTATAATTTACATGATGTGGAATACATGTGTCTACTGCATTACAGCTTTCTGTAGCATATTATGCTATACATACATGTAATGGTATAGAGACACTTAGCTCTGGGAATTGAAACTCTTATGATACTGTGAAATAACAAGTACATTCAGATGTTTACGCGAACCTCTGAAAAAAGCTGTTTCTTTGGAAATGCATCGTAAAGCCTGTGAGTGCTGGTGAGCTGGGGCTGTTTGTTTTCTGTGCTTCAATTATTCACCAGCTTATTTGAAAGTTCTTTTGTTATCATTTACCTATTCTCAGCTGCTGGAGACCTGTACTTCTACTCGTCTGCCATTCATGAGCTGTATAGAATGTGGCTGTTTTCAGGCAGCTATGTCAATCGGCAGCAGTAAAGCTTGGTGTGCCATTGACACAAGCTATGAAAGGAGATTTGGAACACAGAAATAAATTCATTAACTTTAGCAAAAGGCTGAAAATTATTTCCATTCCCCACTTAAACATGCCTCCCCCCAGTAGGTGAATATTGGGATATCCAGTTGTTTGGTAGTCTCGGGTTTTTCAATAATCTATTATTATGCTGGTCTTTTAATGAAAAGCTGACTGTTCCTAGGAGTTAGAAGTCTACAGCAGTAAAATATAATGGCAGAGGCAATGGCCAGGGAGGGCATGTAACTGCATATCTCGATTTAGATCTATACCAGGGGTCAAGAAAAGCTGAGAAATCCAGCAATCCTCTTCTCTTTTTGACCTAAATAATACTGTGCTGTCTGAAAAACAATTTCTGAGTTTATACAATGAACTGCACTTGTTAAAATACTGAGTTTCAAAGTATTAAAATTATCAAAAGTATGTTGTCTCTTTCCAAAGTGGCTAAAGCTTTCTTTTCATTTGTCTCTAGTACAAGTACAAGGAATCATATGAGAAAGAAAAAGGCAAACAGGTTGGATACCGTAGCCTGCAGGATGATCCTAAACTTGTTCATTACATGAATGTGGCCAAAATGCAGTCAGATCGTGAATACAAGAAGGATTATGAAGTCACCAAGACCAAATATCATACTCCTTTGGATATGTTCAGCGTGACGGCTGCCAAGAAAGCCCAGGAAGTGGTTACAAACGCTGGCTATAAACAGCTAATTCACGATTATACGCTCTTGCCTGATTCTGTGAATCTGGAGCTATCAAGAAATGTGATGCAGCTTCAGAGTGATGTATGTAACAATCAATCAGCTCATTTTTTTTCCTCTCGGAATGACTGTTAACACTGTTAAACTTCTTAAGGCTAAAAATTAACTGGATTAACAGTAGATTACATGTAAATGTCTGGTCTGGAACTCTATATTTTCCAAAGATTAGCAGAATTATGTGTAGCTGATAAGTTGTAGGGAACTTACCCAGCAAGTAACAACTTTCTTTGTATCTCTACATATTTGGTTAATTCTCAGCAAATGAACGTGTTTTTCCAGTTTGTGTATTTTTGTAGCTGGATTTGTAATTACAGTGTGTTATTAGTGTGATTATTATTTGTATTGTCAGAGATCGCAGGTTATGTACAGAGTCTAAATTCTAACGGTATTTTATTTAAGTTTACCAAAAATATACCTTATGTATGCTTGTGTTATACCTAGGGATTTGAGATTTTTTTTTTTTCACTTTTCCTTCCTGCCTTTATCCTCCAACAGATGCATGTTCCATGTGTGATGAAGATTCATAAAAAGTCTTTGTAGCTTCCACTAAGTTTTGTGACTTGTTTCCATTTTTTTTTTTTTTTTGCTAGTGTAACTTTAGGGTCTGTTTGTTTATCCAGAAAATATTTAGTTTAATCTGGGTTACTTAACAGTCCTCTGCCACATTTGAAATTCCCCAAAATGCCAATAATCTGATTGAAAGTGTTCTTCAGGTTCTAAGTATTATTTAGAGAGGATAATGTGCATGTTTCCATTGGCCAACAGACAGAGGGTCTGGCCTTTAAGCTCTGTCCTTTTTAAATACAGAAATTTTAATCTCAGGTTTTTTGCTTCCTCATTGTATTTTTACCTGGCCTTGCTGAGCTGGCTGAGCTCACTTGGCTGTCTCACTTGGGATGTTTGCAACGAGAGAAGCATGGTACTTGAGGACAAATTTTGCCCTGTATACACATGCTATATGTCTTTTTGTGGTCAGTGTGTGGTCTTTTTCTCAGACTCTGATATTCTCCCGGTTGCTTCTAACACTGCAGTTCAGACACAGGTTTATTTTCACAGCATTTTTGTACCTTTGTTTGTTCTAAAAGCCATGTCACAAAGTATGATTAAATAGGAATGGTGTCTATTCAAGAATGTGCAGAACCAGGCCATTAAGCAGAAGTTGCTGAAACAATTTCTCTGAATTAATTCTACTGCGAACTGAGTCTACTAACAAACAAGCGCGTCATTTTAAAAAACTACTATATTTTTGTTAGATTTTCATATTTAGCACTCAAAATTTGTTCTAAGGTCTGTGCATTTGGTTTGTAGTGTGAGTTCTACACGTTGGTTTAGTGAAAAGCATTTCTTTATCCCTAACACAATAGTTGTTAACGCTATGCTAAGAATTTGGAGAACAATAGCTGTTATAACAGGCTTGTCTAATTTTTCCTTCAAAAATGAATGACCAGGAGAAGTTTTAAGGCCTTACCTGTTTTTATGTGTATGTTTTTATGTGTATTTCCTTGTCTCACTGTGGTTTTCCTTGTTTATTTTTTAAAAGAATGTGTACAAAGCAGACTTTAATAACTGGTTGAGAGGAGTTGGCTGGATACCAATTCAGTCACTGGATGTAGAAAAAGCCAAAAAAGCTACAGAGATTCTCAGTGAAAAGAAATATCGCCAGCACCCAGACAAGCTGAAGTATTCTATTACAATGGATGCAATGGAACAAGTGCTAGCTAAGCAAAATGCCAAGACCATGAATAAGGTGAGAATTTGTTCAGATGATTGTGACTGAGCCAGAGATTGGGTCTTTTTCTTGCAAAGCTGTGAGACAGGTGCATTCCCACTGAAGTCATTAGAATTTCAAATGGGTGTAGTGGTTTGCTTTGTTAAGACTGGACACTAAGAGATGATGGAAGCCTCAGGCTGTATTCGTAATTAAGGGAGTTTCATTTTCTGTTTATAAAGATTAAAAATTTCTCTTTTGTGTATGTGATTAAAGATGTCTTCTCCAGATTTATAGTGCTTGGGTAACCTTTGCTCTTTTTCTTCAGGAAGTAGTATTCGTAACTAGTGAGCTGAAAAAAACCTTGAAATTCTGTCAGTTCTGTACAACTTCCCTTGAAAAGTGGAGTTCTTTAAATTTGTCCCTAGTTACCTGGGACACCACTGATCCTTATTCCATGTTTGACATGGAAAGAGGGTGTGTGGAAAAAAAAAAATAATTCATAGAATCCCAGGTTGGAAGGGACCTCCAGGATCACCTAGTCCAACCTTTCTGGGCAAGAGCACAGTCTAGACAAGATGGCCCAGCACCCTGTCCAGCTGAGGCTTGAAAGTGTCCAATGTGGCGGAGTCAACCGCAGCCCTGGGGAGGTTATTCCAATGGGTGACTGTTCTCGTGGTGAAAAATTCTTCAATCGGGATCATCTCAGGATTAACTTGCACCCATTAAAGGGGTAATGCTTTGCATTAAAGCAGGGAAGAATGCAGACAGAAAATTTTCGGTTTCGATATTTATTAGTTATCAAAACATACTTTTCAAATGTCTCAAAGTACTAAAGAAAGAGGAGGAATATAATATTGCCACGCAGCAGTTATATTCATGAAGATTATTTGTAGTGCTTATGGATCTTCACTGTACTGTGCAATATTATTTATTGCAAATGAGCAAAGAAAAAAGCAATGCCTTTTCAATGCTAAATATTACCTTGTAATTGCAGAGGCTCTACACTGATAAATGGAACAAAGAAAAGACCAGCATTCATGTTATGCCAGATACTCCAGAAATTCTGCAGTCTAGAGTGAACCAGATCACAATGAGTAATGTGAGTTACCATGCTCGCCGTGGGCATTTGGTATCTGTTGCACAGATCAAAAATTGGTGTCATTTTTATGTCTTTTTTGCAAATATTTAAATTCAGATGTAGGGTGCTTCAGTAGTTCTGCCTTCCTAATGCAGTACCTGTTCCCTCTTACATTTTAAATTAGAAACTTTACAAAGCTGGATGGGAGGAAGACAAGAAGAAAGGTTATGACATGCAGCCAGATGCTATTCCAATAAAAGCAGCCAAAGCCTCCAGAGACATTGCAAGTGATGTAAGTTGGATTGCGGGATAGTACTCAGAGTAGCTACAAAGACAGTCAGAATGTTTTCAAAGTGCTCTGTTATGCACAAATGTGTTTCTTAAAGCATCTTGAGTTGTCTAGGTTTCATTATATGCTTGATGGCGTAAACCCTTGCAGTACTTGCTCTCCAGTGGAATAACACTGAATTGTGCCTTTTTGCTCTTTGTTCAGCAAACTGCTGAGCTTCATGTGTTCAATGGGCTATTTTGTAAGACTGAGTACGTTTAAATGACTAAATCTGAGATCTTGCAATGAAAAAACCCAAATATTTTCTATGTTTTCAGAGATAAAACTGAGATTAATAGTACATTTTTTAGATTTAACTTTTTGCTGTTCTTTCTCTTTCCTGCTCTCAGTATAAATACAAACTAGCCTATGAAAAAGAGAAAGGAAAGCATATTGGGTTCCGCAGCCTTGAAGACGACCCCAAGCTGGTGCACTTCATGCAGGTGGCAAAGATGCAATCTGATCGGGAGTACAAAAAAGATTATGAGAAGGCAAAGACTAATTTCCATACTCCAGTTGACATGGTCAGTGTTGTGGCAGCCAAGAAAGCACAGGAAGTGGCTACAAACGCAAACTACAAAAACCTGATCCATACCTACAATGTTTTGCCTGATGCTATGAGTCTTGAATTAGCCAAAAACATGATGCAGATACAGAGCGATGTAAGTGATTCTTCAGCCTTTGCATTACGAATACAATGATGCTTAATTTGTGAAAGCATACTCTAAGATAAATAGTACTATTTTCTTAGTGAAATTAGTTCAGTTATGTACTAAAAACGTAGTAAATTAAATGAGACTTTCAGCAATGCTAGCCATTGTATTTTTCTAAGACTCTGAAATATTAAATTACACCTATTGCTAAAGAATTTGGGCTCAGAAATAAGTAAATTTATGTGTAAAGTAAAATGGATATTTACTGATTACGTGTCCCATCAGGCTCTTCAGGAGCAATACTTGTGTGCATGAAAGACAAGAAAGGAAAAGCTTTGCTTTTCATTATATAGTTCTATCTTGTACTTCCAAAAAAAATATCTTTTCAGAAGAAGGTGAAACCGGATAAGTAGCTGTATTCTCAGATTTTCTGGGATGTTTAACCTCTAGAGAAGAAGGCCTTTTTTTCTCAGTATAGTGGTTCAAGATAACCTTCTTCTTCAAGAGGGCCTTAGCATGTAATCTCATGCGAGCAATCTATACAAATCATAAGGAGGATCTGAATACTGTGTGAAAGGCAGAGTAATAAAATAGACACCACTGTAACAAATATGTTTCTAAATAAACCTTAAATGCATCTTTATACTGTTTGCCTCTTTTTAGAGGAAGTGCATTCAAAATCTAATATTAATTAAACACGGGAAGAAGTGTTGTGATTTACAGAATTTTTTTCATGCATCTGATTATTTTCTTTTCTTTCTGCTTCCAGAATCAATACCGAGCAGAGTATGATGAAAGTATGAAGGGTGTTGGATGGATGCCACTGGGCTCCCTGGAAGCTGAGAAGAACAAAAAAGCGATGGAAATTGTTAGTGAAAAGAAGTATCGCCAGCATCCAGACAAGTTGAAGTATTCTGTTCCTATGGACTCCATGAACATGGTCTTAGCTTTAAATAATGCTAAAATCATGGATGAGGTAAGAAAGTGTTCATCAACATTAATTTAAGTTTGCAGAAGTAAGAATCAAGCTATACCTGATGTAATAGTCAATCTTATTGTGTGCATATCTTTGGAAATCGCCAATTTTGGCAGCTGATGAATATGCTTGACTGTAATTGTATTTCACCTTTGATATACCTGAAAGCAAAGCATGACCCTAGTATTTCTGAGGAATACATATAAAGACAGACCTGGGGGTCACATTTTATTAATAAAGTTTACCCAAGATAACTGATTATAGACTTCTAGCAGTTTAAATCTGGGAGCTAAAAATAGTGGAACTGATCCCTTTTGGAAATAGGATTTAGACTTCTAAATGTATAGTCTGTTTCATCCGATGCCTGTTACGTTAATATGAAATTGCTGCATGATGTGAATGCTTTTATAATGAGATATTTATTTTCTGATTTTCCTGATGAACTGATGTAATCCACTAGTGTTCTTCAGAAATGTCTGGAGTTCACATTCATTGTAGTTACAGGGACCGTCAGAATCTTATGTGCGCTTTCCTTAGCTCTATCTCCTCTAAGTTAAGCTCTATTACCTCTCTCAACTGATACTTATTTTCCAGGAGATAAACTAAGAATCTTCCACCTCCAACAATTTTTTGTGTGTGTGTCTTCTGACATGGGTTTTTGTTGTGGGTTAACCCCGGTAGGTGGCTAAGCACCACACAGCCCCTCGTTCACTTCCTCCCCTCCTCCCTGGTGGGATGGGAAAAGAGAAAAAGCAGAGTAAAAGCAAGAAAACTTGTCAACATCAAAAATGTTTAATAACCAAAGGAGAAGTGGAAGAAGAGAGATAGAAAAGAAGTGATGCAAAAGCAATCACTTGCCACCTCCCACAGGTAGACTCATGCCCAGGCAGTTCCCAAGCAAAAGAGGTCTGACCTCCCTAGGCTTGACTCCATCCCAGCCAGACCCAGTACAGTTTGAAAGCTGTTGTTTTCTGCTGTTCAGTGTGCTGGGATACACTGCTGGGCAAGAGACAAGCAATGAAGTCCTCTAGCAAGATTGATAATTCTGTCACCCTTCTTTTGGCCTCACACAATTAACTTCCTAAGAACTATTCCTGTTTCACACTGCTTTTAAATGCTAAAATAAAAAGACAAATGTTCCTACCATGGTAGTAGTTGCATCATTGTAAAGAAAGTTTATATTGCAAATAGGAAATGTTCTTTTAAATTGTTTTATTTAATTTTTTGGTTATGTTGATATCTCTTTTGTTTTATCCTTCCAGCACAAGTACAAACAAGCATGGGAAGAAGACAAAAAGAAAGTTCACATCACACCAGATATTCCACAGATTGCTTTAGCAAAAGTTAATGCATTTAATTTAAGTGATGTGAGTACTGTTTGTAAGACTGTGATATTGCTCTTGTTCTTTTTATTAGGAATAAGTGAGGTGACAGCATGCAAAAGTCTCCCTAATTCTCACTTTGCTAACCTGTAGCAGTTTCACAAAAAGCTATTAATTTTCCTTTTCCCTGCTTCCTCCCGCAAAACTAAATACCAAAAATTGCCAAGAAAAAGCTATAGTATTTATAGTTAGGTTATGAAGTGTTCATGTATGTCATTAAAATATAATAGTTATTAACAAGATAGTAGAGTGTGAGTACTGTCCATGTTTGTTACTGTATTTATTATTTTATTTCCCCATGCACAAAGTTTTGTACTGGATTCAGAATTCTTTTTTGCAGATTGAACCCTCTCTTTCAGTAACAGATGATTATATAGAGTTTTTCAGTAGCCAGTTGTTAAATCTGCAGACGCTCAATAAAGTATTGTTTGTAATTGTGCACATCTTTAATGTGCACAGAAATAGACATGTTTATCTCATTTTTTTAAACATTGACATCGGTATAGATGTGACTTTTCACCAATATTTGTGCATGTGGGAAACAAATGCAGTTTCTTGCTCTTTTCTTACAAGTTACTGTTACTAATTACAGTGGAGTCCAGTGGCATTGATGGTTGAATACTAGGATTGGAGTTAATTCTGAAGGAGTTTTCATCTCTCTGTGTGCCTGAGTGCCTTAAACAACCGTTCAAGGAGTGTTAAACATACGAATAGTCTGTGTTTCAAGTTATCATATAAAATGAATAGAGTTTTATTTAAGTAAGTGTGGTGTGTTTTGCCTTTTTAAAGGATGTTTCTTCTCTTTCTTTTCACAGAAAATGTACAGACTTTCATTTGAAGAATCTAGGAAGAAAGGGTATGACCTCAGAGCTGATGCTATCCCTATTAAAGCAGCTAAAGCTTCTAGGGATATTGCTAGTGATGTAAGTTCGTGAAAGAAAAAACGATCCATTTCAGATATTGTAAAACATTCATTTCTTGACACAATTCAACTTTATATGCCAATTATATGAAGTCTCTTTATTTTCTTGCTTGTAAATAATTCTGACTTTTGATATATATTCTAATAGGGTTAAAGAACAATTTCTTTATTAGAAATGTAAGGAGATATCTGAGGGACTCTTAGAAAAAAATAAGGCAGTTTATTCCTCAGTGTGGTGGTGCTTGGATATTGTATAAATGTATGTTGTATATTTGTAGTTCAGACAGAATGTTAAGAGATCATTCTTAGAAACATTTGAAAAGAACAGATACGGACTTGAATTATTTTTCCTGCTGTGGTACAGTCATGTTTATTCCTATGGTGAAAGTCCCATTAAGTTTCTTGGTGCAGAGAATACAAGCTTCTGGAAGCAGCACCATTCTGAAATCTTTTGTGTATTGGTGATGAGGGATCTGCTGTGGCAGGGGCAAATCCAGCCTGAGAGAGGGTTGAAGTTAGGACCTAAGGACATGTTATTTAGCCCACCATTTTCTTTGACAACATAGGGGCCGTTGCTGTCACTGCAAAGTCAATTTGTTCTGCCACTGCTCTAAGTCTGAGGGGAAGATACTTCCATTCTGAGTTCTCTCCAAGCAGTAAGCAGTGAAGGGAAAAGGAATTGATACTTGGTCTGTGTAATTCGTTGTCCAGGGTTGATTAGAGATTGAGGAAGGGATTAAGTATTTTAACTACTGGTTTTATTAAACAAAAAAAAAAGGAAAAGGTCTTATGAAGTGTCTTGAATTTTTTAAGCATTTGAACAAGTGAACCTAATGGAAGTGATGGTTAGATCTTTGATTTTATGGTTAGTCTCTAGGTACGATCTCAAGTATTCTGAGTATGGTGCAGACTACCACAAATAGTTACCTAAGCCCGCTATCGGAAGCAGGATAGCAATAGCAACAGAAAACTCTGAGGATTAATGTACCCTGGTTCTAGTGTTTGTGATAGCTCATCTTAGAGCTAATATGGGGGATTAATGTACCCTGGTTCTAGTGTTTGTGATACCCATATTAGCTCTAAGATGAGCTATCTCTAAACTCCAGTGTGAAAAGAATAAAAAGTGCACTTCTTCCAAAGAAATGTCTTCAGCAAACCAGATTCTATGTGTTCCTTTGCCTTTTGCTTTCTGTCAGTATGATTCATATTTTCATTGTGTCATTTGTAATGAGATTAGACAGCAATTGAACCCCAGGTTACATTGAACCTTATGCAGGAGCAGAATAAACTATTGCAAGGAAATGTCATTTATTAAGAAAGTGTTTTAAAAATACTGCTTTTAAAAGGGACACTAGACGTCTGTTTTGCTTTACAGCGCACCCTAAGAGTAGGTGGACAAAGCCACCACCTCTCTATGCTTTGTGATGGTTTCTGAACAATGTAAAAATCTTAGTTTAATCTAAGTTTGGGGGTTTTTTTATAAGGTAGATATTGCTTATTAAACAAATGAAGTAGAATTAAAGTCTCTGTCTCTGTTCTCTTTACAGTATAAATACAAATTAGGTTATGAACAAGACAAGGGAAAACTTGTAGGCTTCCGCAGCCTTCAGGATGATCCCAAACTTGTCCATTATATGCAAGTGGCTAAGATGCAGTCTGATCGTGAATACAAGAAAGCTTATGAGATGAGCAAGACGCATTACCAAACGCCATCTGATACACTCAGCATTGTGGCAGCAAAGGAGGCACAGGACCGTGTAACCAATACCAACTACAAACGACTGATTCACCAGTATATGCTTCTACCAGATGCAATGAGTTTAGAACTCTACAGAAACATGAATCAGATACAAAGTGATGTAAGTTTCTGTTTTCCTTCTGTGCTTCACAGCTGTGACTTTTTTTCTTGCTTTTTCATTATGGCTGTGTTTTGGAAACAACAGAATTATTTTGGATGAGCCATTTGTAAATTGCAAACTTTCCTTTTGCGTTCTGTTTGGCAGAATGAGTACAAGCAGGATTACAATGAGTGGTTCAAGGGTATCGGCTGGAGTCCCGCTGGTTCTCTGGATGTGGAGAAATCTAAGAAAGCCACAGAAATTGCAAGTGATCGGAAATACCGCCAGCATCCCAGCATGTTCCCCTTTACAAAACAGAATGATGCCATGGACATGGTCCTTGCCAAGCAGAATGCAAATATAATGAACAAAGTGAGTATTTATGGGGAAAATTAGGCAGACATTCACATATCATTTATTTCGACAAACAGTGTGTAAGTCTCTGTCACCACCTTTATGTAGCAGCGTTTTTCTGGGAGAAACAACTGTCAGTTACAGGTTCCTCTTTTAAAAAATTTTTTTTCTTAATGAAGCACTCAGTTACTGATAAATAGCATTGGTTAAATAAATCTTTTCTCATTTTTCTCATTGCTACTTCTCCAACCTCTATTCTTCTAATTCATGTATAGAAATTATTGGCCCTGAAAAATCTTGATAGTTGGACTTCATTAGAAGCAAGTCTGTATCCTAATTCAGCTGATTCTGGGTTACATCAATACATAGTAAAATAAATTTAAGTCAGCACCTTTGTCTTTTTACCCATCTATATCCAAAGTACACAAATAACGCACTAAGTACACAAACAGGTGAAGGCCATCTTTTGTTGTTAACACACCTGATGTTACTTTTTTCAATAGCATGCTTATACTCAAGCTTGGGAGAAGGATAAAATTCAGGTTCACGTGATGCCAGATACACCAGATATTCTACAGGCAAAACAGAACAAGGCGAACTACAGTCAGGTAGAGTTTTTTAATACTTCCTATTACATTTTAAATGAATATCTACTTTCTCCAAATTTAAAGGTGCCTCCCATTTTAAAATAAGTAATTAATTTGTATAAGAAGAAACAGAATGGGGGATTTAGAGGCAAGAACCTTTATGTGAGTAATATTTTCAGAGTAGCAATAAGTATCATCTTCAGGCTAGCAAAGCAACAGCCTAAATTACACTATATAATGTATGGAAAATATAAGTCCTGATTTTGAAATTTAGATATGCATAGTCCATACTTTACGCTTACCACAGAAATCAATCATATAAAAAATTCCTTACTATAAAATTACAAGTTCATTTTGTATTTTTGTAACTTAGCCTATAGGAACAGAAATGCATGCAGTGATTCTAACTTTTCTGTCAGCTTTCAAATATGAGAAAGTGGCAATTGTGCCAGCATAAAATACTGAGGTTTTGCTTTGTGTGATTGCTCAGCAGCAAATCTTTGACTTGCAAGTGCTGGTAGTTAAAATCACCTGTGCACAAACTGAGCTGACTAGTAAATGGCTACATTACAGCCTTATTAATTATGGTTTTTTAAGTCAATTGAAAAGTTTTCAGTTATCCCAGATGTATATGTTTCAAATTCCCCAGATACGTTTCAAATCCCCAAGACAAGCTATAGTAGGAAGCTGCTTCAGTAAAGAAAAACTAATTGCTAGCCTAAGACTTGGAAGACCTGCGTTCCTTGCTTATCAGGTTCCTGTTTCTCAGTTCCCATTCTAGTAGCCCTTCACTTGTAACTGAAGCCTGTGAGGTGACCAGAATTTGGTAATATGGATCATTAGCATATCTAAATAGAAGGTGACATACATATTGCTATGACTTTTAAATTAATATTGTTTTCAATTTTAGAAACTATACAAGCTTGGCTGGGAGGAAATGATAAAGAAAGGCTATGACCTCACACCTGAAGCCATTTCAGTGAAAGCTGCCAAAGCTTCAAGGGACATTGCAAGTGATGTAAGCAACATTTCTAAATCAGTATGACATGCACTTTATCTAGTTGCATTAACCTACAGAGTCGCACTAGATCCAGGTACACCTCTCTGCTAAGGTGTGGCTTGGAGTAAAAAGCAAAACTGCTGACAAAACTCTTCCCTGATCTGTTCTTGTCAGAGAAGAAAACAGTTTAAGAAGGTTTTCTCTGGCATCTTGACAATTCCAAAGATTGTGGTCCATCCATGAAGTGGCTAGTCATTAGCTGATCAGCTAATCATCAATCAGCTGATGCCAGTGCCTATACTGAGAAATCCTCTTTACAACTCTGAAGTAGAGGTGGTGACACATGTATTGCTGTTATCATCACTGGGTATGAATACAGCTGCTGCACTTCTGGAAGGGATTTTATTAATCGTTAGGAAATGTTTCCAATGCTTAAGCATCTGCATTTTTCATTGCTGATTATTTTATTCATCCAAATGTTTCTGTGTGTCAGCCTTTGGGAGTTGTGAACAGTATGAATGTTTGAATCAGATGGCACAGGAGACCATTCTTACAGCCATGCATGGGGCTGGTGCAAAGCTCAAGGGCATGCCACGAGCAAGGCTCGTGCAAGGAGCAAGCACTCTTCCTCTCCAGGGACTCTGCTCATTCCAAGGGAGAGCATTCACTGACACCAAGTGATGCACATTAATTGAGGCTGCTAAACCTTTACATTAGGTGCCATAACAAGTTCCTCATTTAATTGGTAATGAGAAACATTGAACTGAGGGAATATATAGATATATTGCTTATATGTTTTACCATTGCCTGTTTCTTATGGTAATGTCACTAATGCAACCTTTATCATTTTAGTACAAGTACAAAGAAGGTTACCGCAAGCAGCAGGGGCATCACATTGGATTCCGCAGCTTACAGGATGATCCTAAGATGTTGTGGTCTATGCAAGTAGCTAAGATGCAGAGTGAGAGGGAGTACAAGAAAGATTTTGAGAAGTGGAAGACGAAGTTTAATATGCCTGTGGATATGTTAGGCTTCCTTCTGGCTAAGAAATGCCAGGAATTGGTTAGTGATATAGACTACAAACGGATGCTACACCGCTGGACTTGCCTGCCAGACCAGAATGATGTCACCCAGGCAAAGAGGGTCTACGAACTACAGAGTGATGTAAGCTTCCTCTGGATTTAATTAATTTATTTTTTGGTAAGATATTTACTGCTTGTTGAAAAGTATCTTTAATAACTCTCTTTTGATGTTGGTATAGATCAGATTGAAGCTAAAATACCAGTTAGTCTTTTAGTATGGTTTAATAAATGAACAGGGAAATACTCTACTATGGTTTTGATTTTTTTCTTTAACAGAATCTGTATAAGTCAGATCTACAATGGCTCAGAGGCCTTGGATGGAGTCCTTTGGGATCTTTGGAATCTGAGAAGAACAAGAAAGCTTCTGAAATACTGAGTGAAAAGAAGTACCGGCAGCACCCAGATACCATTAAGTTCACAAGTATCCCAGATGCCATGGATATCGTTTTAGCAAAATCTAATGCCAAAAACAGAAGTGATGTAAGTTGCCTCTAGAGACAGAACATGTGATTCAATAAATGAATACAGTAGTATAAATTTGTTGAAAAGATCTCCATATCAGAACATGTGCTTAAAGTATAAAATATCAGCTGTTTACGATCAGTGCTTTACTGCTCAGTTATTAAGAACTACTATGCCTTGTTCAGAAGATTCAGGTCTTTAGTACTGCATAACTTATTCAGTAATAACTGCAAATAAGACCCTTTACTATGTAGTATGTAAATCTATTGTCATAATGCTGTTTCCTTGACATTTCATGGATGTAAGGAAAAAAGTGGTATTTCAGTAAGAAGTTGTTGTATTATTTGATTTTAATAACTTGCGTTGTTTACATCGCTCATGCTTGCATAGTACATCTTTGCTTTGCTATTGTAGAGAAAAGGTAAACTAAATTTATTGCCATGCATGTGAACCTTTTATCAGACACTGTATTTTTGTTTGTGACTCTTTTCAGATATTGTACAGAGAAGCTTGGGACAAGGACAAGACTCAGGTTCACATCATGCCTGATACTCCTGAAATTTTGCTGGCTAAATCAAACCTAATTAACACAAGTGATGTAAGTATTTCTCTACAATGTTTCTTTTATGCAATTTGGACTTACCGTTGTGGCTTTAGTTTAAAATGCGGTAGAGTAATTCTGCAGTTCTAACAGCTGTAAGCACACCTGTGATCTTTGCCTGTGAAAATTGTTATGCACCAGGAAGCCCGAGTGGGATTGCTAAATTACAAAATACACGTTATTAAAGAAAGCTATGGAATTGAATTTGATGAATGAAACTTTGTTTGGAATCTCATGCTTTATTTTCAGTAATCAGGGGAGGAAAGTTGTAGTATTGAAAAATATCTCTAGAGAGCTTTATTTGCAATAATTACTTTGTGTCCTTCTCCAACAGAAACATTACAAGTTAGGGTATGAAGAACTGAAGAGGAAAGGCTACGATCTTCCTCCTGATGCTATACCCCTCAAGTCAGCAAAGGCATCCAGAGACATAGCTAGTGAAGTAAGTCTTACAGAGTGAAAATAATAGTGGGGCATAGAGCTGGTACACGCTTTTAGCTAAACATATTTTCTATTAAAAAAGCGGAGAGGTCTAAGATTTTAACAGTCTTGTATTGCTGCCCTCCTCAGGGCTGGTATAACTCTTAATAGTGTAAAGTTAATTAAATTAAATACAGTAATTTATAATGAGATAGCATATAACTATAAAAAAATCTGTTAATATCTTCTGGACATGCAATAAACCCACCAAAACCATTGGAAAAATATACAAATAAAAGAAAAATATATTATGTAAGAAAGTTTTAACCACTGTATTAAACACAGAGAAATTTAAATTGCAGCTCAAAAACAGGTCATAATTATTGTTTCTGCATTCAATTAGTACCAATACAAAACTGCATACCGAAAGCAGCTTGGCCACCACATAGGGGCCCGTAACATAGAGGACGATCCAAAGATGATGTGGTCGATGCACGTAGCCAAGATCCAGAGCGACAGGGAGTACAAGAAAGCCTTTGAGAAGACAAAGACGCACTTCAGTAGCCCAGTGGACATGCTGGGAATCGTGTTGGCCAAGAAATGTCAGGAGCTGGTCAGCGACATTGATTACAAGCACCCTCTGCATCGTTGGACCTGTCTGCCGGACCAGAACGATGTTGTACAAGCCAGGAAAGTGTACGACCTTCAGAGTGATGTAAGTTATTCTTTTCTGTCTGTGTGACAGCCCGAAGCCTCTCTTGTGTTCTGTTCCTTTGTTGGAGAAGGTCCAGGTGGGGAGCGTAAGCGTAGGCTGATTCTGAGAGACAGACTGTGTTGTGGCTGTACTGTCTTGCTGAGAGTAGGTGTCGTGAGTGGACAGAGGTGAAGTTTGTGTGGGGTCATACTTTATGGTCTCAGAGGAGTCCTGTCTTGCCTTGAGCATTCCGGGGGGAGTTTTGCTGGAGGTGGCTCGAGTTCTGTATGGCAGGGGAAGGGCAACGGAGTCAGATATTTCCATCTGGAGGACCGACAGTGGGCAAAGGCTGCCACGTGTGCAGTGGTGAATGGTCTGAAGAGCGTTGGGTGATGAGGGATAAGGCTCCTCCCGTCACCCTGCCAGCTGGAGATTGCCAAAAGGGGCCGGTCTTTCCCAGGGAGACGACAAAGGTGGTGGGGAGGGCTTTGTGGCTTGCTTGGCACGTGATTGAGCTGTTGCAGGCATAGGGAGCTGAGTAGTGGGGAGGGGAGCTTAACGGGAGTCCCTTTTGTGGTGTCTGTTGGGTTGGCGCAGGGGAATGTGTTTTGTTAGTCAGAGCTTCCCTTGGTAGGAGGAGTGGTTGCGCGGAGTAAGGAGGATGCTGAGCTGCTTTGTGTCCTTGGCTGTCCTTCCAGAATGTGTACAAGTCGGACCTTAACTGGCTGAGGGGCATTGGCTGGTCCCCAAGTGGTTCTCTGGACGATGAGAAGAATAAGAGGGCGAGCCTCATCCTGAGCGACAAGAAGTATCGGCAACACCCGGACACCATCAAATTCACGAGCCTCCCTGACTCGATGCCCATGGTTCTGGCGAAGCACAACTCTGAAATAATGAACCAAGTGAGATTTCCTTGTGTGTGCAACATGAAGGAACTGAGTGCATTTCCCAGGCCTTTGGGCTCCCTCCTGCCAGGGCCTGGGTTTTGCAAGGGGGACGTTGCATGCTCTTGCATCAGGGATTTGTGTTCCTTGGTTTGGATGAAACTGTGTTTTGTGTGGTTGGTGCAAAGATTGGGTGCAGCGTGGAAAAGAAAAGGGTGAAGGGATCTTATTTCACGTGTGATTTCATTTTTTCAGCGCTCGTACATATCGGCCTGGGAGAAGGACAAAACCAGCGTGCACATTATGCCGGATACGCCTGGCATTTTGCTAGCCCAGCAGAACAGAGTGAACTTCAGTGAGGTAGGTGCTTGAGCTGGGGTTAAGTGTCCACCCCTGGACACGGCTGCGGCCCAGGTAGAAGTGTTGTGTGAGGGGAATGCTTGTTTCTCTTTCAGAAACTGTACAAGCTTGCGATGGAGGAAGATAAGAAAAAGGGCTACGACATGCGGGCAGACGCCATTCCCATCAAGTCTGCCAAAGCTTCCAGAGACATTGCAAGTGATGTAAGTACACAGGAGCCCTTGGTGTCCCACCCTGCCAGAGAGTTCCCCGGTGCTTGCCGTTGAAGCCCAGGTTTTGTAACCTTAGCGGAATGGAGGCAACCCAGCTCTTACCTGTCAGTACCATTCAGCTGGTCTGTAAACGCATTGGTTCTGGAGGTTCTGCCTGTAGCTGTCCCTGCGTGTTCTGCGTTTGTGGTGTTGTGAGTGAATGTGTAGGTGGTGTGGAGAGAGTAACTGTGGGAGCTGGGTGATGGAGGTAATGCAAAGCAGCGTCCCTCCTGGGCTTGTGGCAGACTGTGCTTGTGCAACAGCCTGGACTTTTGAGGTGTTGTGGTGCCCTCTGTGCTGCCAGTCTGCCCACCCCTGATGCTGCAGGTTCACAGCTGAGCTGGACATTAGGGAAGAACACCCACGCCAAGTTTTGTGTTTACAGCCAGGCCATTTATCGTTTCTGCCTGGACTAGGAGCAGGTCCAGTCCCTGTAGGTCAGTCATTACTCTGCCCCAGAGTGTCATTTCAGGGCTTAGCTCTGTAGGAGCTGTATTTAATCTCTCATGTGAGGTTTTGTATTTCAGGTTTGTTGGCTTACTGTAAGGACAAGAGTTCAATCTCTCCTCACTCTTACTTGACATTTCAGTAAGAGGTGAGGGAAAAAGCCTCATGTTGCCCCTTGTCACTTCCCAAGCTTAGTGGCTGTAGGCCTGCAGCTGAGGACCCACATGGGGCTGGGAGAATAAGACTCGTGAGCGCTGTGCAGGAGAGCCTGGTGCAGTGGAGTGTGTCAGCTGGTGTAGGCTGTGGGGGTGAGGGCAGTCAGGGCTGTGCAGGATGAGGTCCAGGCTGCCTACTAGAGCAGTCCGGTGGTTTTCCCTGAGTTTTGCATCCCAGCTGCGGTCGTGGCCTCTCTGTGGGGATGCTTAGGTTGTGTGGAGACCCTGCCTGGCGGCACACATTGCTCCTAGTTCTGGAGCATGTATGGTTGGAGTTGCCATCTAGGCCTCCATGTATGTCCCGTGGCCCTGCGTAGGCATGGGGTGGGATGGAAGTGTAGGGCACAGTAGGGATATGCTGTGCTTAGACACCTCTTCAGGTGGTGATCTTGCCTGGCTCCACGGGCATGGCACTTGCTCACAGGCGCAGCTACAGAGTGGAGTGTCAGAAGGGAGAAGAGCTGGTCAGACACCTAATGAGCTTCTTCCACCCTACAGTACAAGTATAAAGAAGGCTATCGCAAGCAGCTTGGCCACCACATAGGGGCCCGTAACATAGAGGACGATCCAAAGATGATGTGGTCGATGCACGTAGCCAAGATCCAGAGCGACAGGGAGTACAAGAAAGCCTTTGAGAAGACAAAGACGCACTTCAGTAGCCCAGTGGACATGCTGGGAATCGTGTTGGCCAAGAAATGTCAGGAGCTGGTCAGCGACATTGATTACAAGCACCCTCTGCATCGTTGGACCTGTCTGCCGGACCAGAACGATGTTGTACAAGCCAGGAAAGTGTACGACCTTCAGAGTGATGTAAGTTATTCTTTTCTGTCTGTGTGACAGCCCGAAGCCTCTCTTGTGTTCTGTTCCTTTGTTGGAGAAGGTCCAGGTGGGGAGCGTAAGCGTAGGCTGATTCTGAGAGACTGCGTTGTGGCCTACTGTCTTGCTGAATCATATGATCCTACAATTCATAGAATCATAGAATGGTTTGGGTTGAAAGGCACTTTAAAGTTCATCTCATTCCAACGACCCTGCCACAGACAGGGACAACGTCCACTGGTTCAGGTTGCTCAAAGCCCTATCCAACATGGCTTTGAACACTTCGAGGGAGGGGAAATCCAAAACTTACCCAGGCAACCTCTTTCCATGTCTCTCCACCCTCACAGTAAAGGATATTTTCCTAAAATCTAATCTAAGTATATCCCCTTTTAGTTTAAAGCAATTATTCCTCAGTTTGTATTGAAAAGAAATTTTCAATTTGAACCTTTCCCATCCAGAACTTTTTATTTTATCATTTTAAACTTCATTACATATTCGGCAGTTCAGCTTTATTTTGCTGAGATTTTTTTCCAGAATGGCCAGGCACGAAGCTTGTGTGGGGTCATACTTTATGGTCTCAGAGGAGTCCTGTCTTGCCTTGAGCATTCCGGGGAGAGTTTTGCTGGAGATGGCTCGAGTTCTGTATGGCAGGGGAAGGGCAACGGAGTCAGATATTTCCATCTGGAGGACCGACAGTGGGCAAAGGCTGCCACGTGTGCAGTGGGGAATGGTCTGAAGAGGGTTGGGGGATGACTCCCGTCACCCTGCCAGCTGGAGATTGCCAAAAGGGGCCGGTCTTTCCCAGGGAGACGACAAAGGTGGTGGGGAGGGCTTTGTGGCTTGCTTGGCACGTGATTGAGCTGTTGCAGGCATAGGGAGCTGAGTAGTGGGGAGGGGAGCTTAACGGGAGTCCCTTTTGTGGTGTCTGTTGGGTTGGCGCAGGGGAATGTGTTTTGTTAGTCAGAGCTTCCCTTGGTAGGAGGAGTGGTTGCGCGGAGTAAGGAGGATGCTGAGCTGCTTTGTGTCCTTGGCTGTCCTTCCAGAATGTGTACAAGTCGGACCTTAACTGGCTGAGGGGCATTGGCTGGTCCCCAAGTGGTTCTCTGGACGATGAGAAGAATAAGAGGGCGAGCCTCATCCTGAGCGACAAGAAGTATCGGCAACACCCGGACACCATCAAATTCACGAGCCTCCCTGACTCGATGCCCATGGTTCTGGCGAAGCACAACTCTGAAATAATGAACCAAGTGAGATTTCCTTGTGTGTGCAACATGAAGGAACTGAGTGCATTTCCCAGGCCTTTGGGCTCCCTCCTGCCAGGGCCTGGGTTTTGCAAGGGGGACGTTGCATGCTCTTGCATCAGGGATTTGTGTTCCTTGGTTTGGATGAAACTGTGTTTTGTGTGGTTGGTGCAAAGATTGGGTGCAGCGTGGAAAAGAAAAGGGTGAAGGGTTAGGAGTCTTGGGAGAAGAAAAGACATTCCTGAGTCGGTGCAAAGTGGAGGTCCCTTGCTTCAGTTCATTGAGCTAGTTTGCTCATTGAGTGTGTAACCCTGTGCTTATTTCTTAATAATTTCTACATAACCCTGTATCTTATTTCACGTGTGATTTCATTTTTTCAGCGCTCGTACATATCGGCCTGGGAGAAGGACAAAACCAGCGTGCACATTATGCCGGATACGCCTGGCATTTTGCTAGCCCAGCAGAACAGAGTGAACTTCAGTGAGGTAGGTGCTTGAGCTGGGGTTAAGTGTCCATCCCTGGACACGGCTGCGGCCCAGGTAGAAGTGTTGTGTGAGGGGAATGCTTGTTTCTCTTTCAGAAACTGTACAAGCTTGCGATGGAGGAAGATAAGAAAAAGGGCTACGACATGCGGGCAGACGCCATTCCCATCAAGTCTGCCAAAGCTTCCAGAGACATTGCAAGTGATGTAAGTACACAGGAGCCCTTGGTGTCCCACCCTGCCAGAGAGTTCCCTGGTGCTTGCCGTTGAAGCCCAGGTTTTGTAACCTTAGCGGAATGGAGGCAACCCAGCTCTTACCTGTCAGTACCATTCAGCTGGTCTGTAAACGCATTGGTTCTGGAGGTTCTGCCTGTAGCTGTCCCTGCGTGTTCTGCGTTTGTGGTGTTGTGAGTGAATGTGTAGGTGGTGTGGAGAGAGTAACTGTGGGAGCTGGGTGATGGAGGTAATGCAAAGCAGCGTCCCTCCTGGGCTTGTGGCAGACTGTGCTTGTGCAACAGCCTGGACTTTCGAGGTGTTGTGGTGCCCTCTGTGCTGCCAGTCTGCCCACCCCTGATGTTGCAGGTACATTAGGGAAGAACACTGAAACCAAGCTTTTATGTAAAAATAAAGGCAGTATAAAGGTAAACATTTTTTCATTATTATTAGGTGTTAACATCAACATTTATTCCCTGTATGTGTTTTGTGTCTCTGTTTAGACTTTCACGTCTCTCTCTATGCTCTTCCAGTTTTTATGTCCTGCATACGTTGAGTAGGAATTTGTTTGGCTATTGTGCTTGCAGATCACTAACTGATTTTTTATGTGGGGGTTATTTATAGAACTCTGGGCCTTTCCTATTACTGCCATCAAAGAGACTCTTTTTACTCTCAGTTACTGAGTAGGATCTCTTAATATGTAGGCTAGGGAGTTGCTTTGAAAATCTGAAGGTCATGTCAGGCAGATAATGTAACATGGATCCTTTTGTAGCTGTACATTGTAGCTCACCAGCAGAATACTTTCTGACTCTAAAATCTCTGTGCCTTCAGATACTAAATTCTCTGTCAGTTGTGGCACAGGGGCTGTTAGGGCCATAAAGAAAATGAAATTCTAACTCACTGAACTTTTTATTGCCTATAGTACAAGTATAAGGAAGGCTATCGCAAGCAGCTTGGCCACCACATAGGGGCCCGTAACATAGAGGATGATCCAAAGATGATGTGGTCGATGCATGTAGCCAAGATCCAGAGCGACAGGGAGTACAAGAAAGCCTTTGAGAAGACAAAGACGCACTTCAGTAGCCCAGTGGACATGCTGGGAATCGTGTTGGCCAAGAAATGTCAGGAGCTGGTCAGCGACATTGATTACAATATTTCAGTACAAATACAAAGAAGGCTATCGCAAGCAGCTTGGCCACCACATAGGGGCCCGTAACATAGAGGACGATCCAAAGATGATGTGGTCGATGCACGTAGCCAAGATCCAGAGCGACAGGGAGTACAAGAAAGCCTTTGAGAAGACAAAGACGCACTTCAGTAGCCCAGTGGACATGCTGGGAATCGTGTTGGCCAAGAAATGTCAGGAGCTGGTCAGCGACATTGATTACAAGCACCCTCTGCATCGTTGGACCTGTCTGCCGGACCAGAACGATGTTGTACAAGCCAGGAAAGTGTACGACCTTCAGAGTGATGTAAGTTATTCTTTTCTGTCTGTGTGACAGCCCGAAGCCTCTCTTGTGTTCTGTTCCTTTGTTGGAGAAGGTCCAGGTGGGGAGCGTAAGCGTAGGCTGATTCTGAGAGACTGTGTTGGGCCCCTACTGTCTTGCTTGAGAGTAGGTGTCGTGAGCGGACAGGGGTGAAGTTTGTGTGGGGTCATACTTTATGATCTCAGAGGAGTCCTGTCTTGCCTTGAGCATTCCGGGGGGAGTTTTGCTGGAGGTGGCTCGAGTTCTGTATGGCGGGGAAGGGCCAACGGAGTCAGATATTTCCATCTGGAGGACCGACAGTGGGCAAAGGCTGCCACGTGTGCAGTGGTGAATGGTCTGAAGAGCGTTGGGGGGTGAGG